AAATTTCATAAAAATTCACGTGTTTTTCCCCACCTATATCGACTGGGCTAATGATGCTGAACAAGAATATATATGCTTTAGGGGGAATATAAATACATACGGGTATTTTTCATAGCTCTTCTTTCGATTTAAGACAATTATTATGTTGATAATGAAATGCTCTGATGTCGACAATTCGTGATTTTAATATACATATATTACGCATTTTATCTTTGAGCGTGACAATAAATTTCCTTGGCTCATGCGTTTGAATTTAATTTTTAGTTCCATTAAATTTTATTACGCTCGAACTATGCGATTTATGTTGCTGATGGCTTAATCCTAGGAGTACGTGATGGCATTACGGCACCTTGCGGAAAATGCGATCAAATTCAATTGTGATCTTGACCAACCTGCTTCACCTTTTTCGCAATGTGACCCTTTAGATTTTGTCTTTTGGTGGTGGTATGCGATAATTGACTATCGATATATGTGCAAATGCAAATGAATATTGATTAGTGCGAAAATTTAAACAAAGCAACTTATTACGTACTTTACAGAATTTTGAAATTATCATATTTTATGAATCAATTTTAATTTTGATTGTTCATCACCCAATTTACATGAGCCCACGATAGATGGCAATACTACACATTTAGAAAAATATGTCTAATTTTCAGAGCATTCGGGATTTATTTGTTTCTGTATATGTGTTGCTAAATGGAATGTTTTACATAGTTTTTTTCAATAACAAAATTGGACTTAAAATTATTATTATTTCACATTAAATGTCTCACATATAAAATAAAGCTTTTTACTGCAATCATCGTCATTCATCCCGTATCTTTTGTGTATGTACCAAAAACTTCCACAGTTTTCATTTCCCTTATAATTGTCTGGATTATTTTTTGGATACCAATTTAAAAAAGCTGCTCCATTGCCAGTGGTATGCGATATAAATTTGCCCTCCTCGCTGAGATCATTAATATCAATCCAATAAAATTTGGGTGGGTTTAACTTAGCTATTATCGCATCATATTCTTTCTGATTTTGGATGCTGGCCAAGTGAGCCCCCAACTGATGGCATCTGTGTGCTGCGGCATACCAATTCATCGTCGCGTGTTCTTCTATATAGTAGTATTTGGATCCTATTTGCTTAAACAATTCTGGTTGACCTTTAAACGTTTGTTCGGCATCCTTAAGCTTTTGATCGTGTTCATCAATTTTCTTATGCAAAAATACCAGGTCCTTCTCCATATATTCCTGCTTTAATTGCAAATCCACACTTTGCTTTTGACAATTATCCTTATCCACTTTGACTTGTTTCTGTAATAAAAACGTGTGATGATAATTAAACTTTTGTTCGTATAAAAAAGGCATTAAGGAATATGTATTTGCCAATCCCTTCAATCAAAGTGTTCAATCGATAGGAGCACATATTTCCCACAATTTTAGGGCTAGAGTCAGCAAATTTGGTTGATAGATTGCTGATGGCATCCCTTAAAGATCAGTATATGAAACTGTACCGTAATCAACCATGAATCACACAATTTAAAAGGTGCACAATGATTAATCAATTGATTTGTTAGCATACCAGCTCTTTCTCGATATTATCCAGCTTAGATTGTAAATCAGATTTTTCCTTATCCTCCTGGTCCATGATTTTTTCCTGCAATGCGACCGATTGCTTCAAAATAGGCTTCACTACTTTAAAGCAAAAACTACCACAAGTATTCTCCAGTTGAGCATCCTTCTCACCGGTCTATAAATATATATTTTGTTATTTATTTTTGTTTTCTACTTATTTATATATTTATTTTTTCGATAGATCAGCTTGCAGAACTGACACCCAATAAAGGCGGCACAGAGATTAGCAGCGTTACCAAAATAATTTGCATCGTTCTTCACAATTCAGTTGCGTAGACAGCAGAGAACTGTAGAGAACAGAGAACATTATTATTCTGATTCACGTAAGCATTATCAATTTTGCTGCTTTAATGCCAATGATGCTCGACATGAGACCAGATTAAATACAAAATTAAAAGATTAAATACAAAACTCGCAAAGTATATATTGATCAGAATCAACAACTGAGTCACGCAGATTCATTTTATTTCAATGTTAACTTTAAATTCGCATAGTCGACTGCAGCATTCTCCTTGGTATTTTTTTACTCTCTGATTCACAGAACAATGAGAAAGCTACAACACAGATTATAGCTAAAGCAGTTTTCTCAGAACTCTCATTCCAATCAAATTTCATTCGAATTCACGTGTTTTTCCCCACCTATATCGACTGGGCTAATGATGCTGAACAAGAATATATATGCTTTATGGGGAATATAAATACATACGGGTATTTTTCATAGCTCTTCTTTCGATTTAAGACAATTATTATGTTGATAATGAAATGCTCTGATGTCGACAATTCGTGATTTTAATATACATATGTATATTACGCATTTTATCTTTGAGCGTGACAATAAATTTCCTTGGCTCGTGCGTTTGAATTTAATTTTTAGTTCCATTAAATTTTATTACGCTCGAACTATGCGATTTGGGTTGCTGATGGCTTAATCCTAGGAGTACGTGATGGCATTACGGCACCTTGCGGAAAATGCGATCAAATCGAATTGTGATCTTGACCAACCTGCTTCACCTTTTATTTTTGATTTTAATTTTGATTGTTCATCGCCCAATTTACATTAGCCCACGATAGATGACAATACTACACATTTAGAAAAATATGTCTAATTTTCAGAGCATTCGGGATTTATTTGTGTCTGTATATGTGCTGCTAAATGGAATGTTTTACATAGTTTTTCTTTAATATCAAAATTTGACTTAAAACCATCATTATTTCAAATTGAATGTCTCACATATAAAGTTACACTTACAAAAGCAATTAAAATCATTCATCCCATATCTGTTGCCTACGTACCAAAAACTTCCACAGTCCTCATTTCCGCCATAATTGTCTGGATTAAAAGCTGGATACCAATTTAAAAAAGCTGCTCCAATTCCAGTTGTATGCGATATATATTTGCCCTCCTCGCTGAGATCATTAACATCAATCCAATAACGTTTGTGTGGGCTTAACTTAGCTATTATCGCATCATATTCTGTCTGATTTTGGACGCTAACCAAGTGAGCCCCTAACTGATGGCATCTGTGTACTGCGGCATACCAATTCTTCTTCACCTGATCTTCTATATAGTAGTATTTAGATCCTATTTTCTTAAACAATTCTGGTTGACATTTAAACGTTTGTTCCTCAAGCTTTTGATCGTGTTCATCATCTATTTTATGCAAAAGTACCAGCTCGTTCTCCATGTTTTCCAGCTTTGATTGCAAATCCGCATTTTGCTTCAATAATTCACTTTGATCTGGACAATTATCCTTATCCACTTTGACTTGTTTCTGTAATAAAAACGTGTGATAATAATTAAACGTTTGTTCGTATAAAAAAGGCATCAAGGAATATGTATTTGCCAATCCCGTCAATCAAAGTGTTCAATCGATAGGAGCACATATTTCCCACAATCAGCAAATTTGGTTAGTGGATTGCTGATGGCATCCCTTAAAGATCAGTATATGAAACTGTACCGTGATCAACCATGAATCACACAATTTAAAAGGTGCACAATGATTAATCAATTGATTTGTTAGCATACCAGCTCTTTCTCGATATTATCCAGCTTAGATTGTAAAACAGATTTTTCCTTATCCTCCTGGTCTATGGTTTTTATCTGCAATGCGGCCATGTGCCCCAAAATAGGTTTCACTACCTTAAAGCAAAACTTGCCACAAGTATTCTCCAGTTGGGCATCCTTCTCGCAGGTCTATAAATGTATATTTTGTTATTTATTTTTGTTTTCTACTTATTTATTTATTTATTTTTTCGATAGATCAGCTTACAGAACTGACACCCAATAAAGGCGGCACAGAGATTAGCAGCGTTACCAAAATAATTTGCATCGTTTTTCACAATTCAGTTCCGTAGACAGCAGATAACTGAAGAAACCGCACCTCTGAAGCATATTTTATATAGAGAACAGAGAACATTATTATTCTGATTCACGTAAGCATTATCAATTTTGCTGCTTTAATGGTGCTTTCAATGGTGCTCGACATGAGACCAGATTAAATACAAAATTAAAAGATTAAATACAAAACTCGCAAAGTATATATTGATCAGAATCAACAACTGAGTCACGCAGATCCATTTTATTTCAATGGTAACTTTAAGTTCGCATAGTCGACTGCAGCATTCTCCTTGGTATTTTTTTACTCTCAGATTCACAGATCAATGAGAAAGCTACAACACAGATTATAGCTAAAGCAGTTTTCTCAGAACTCTCATTCCAATCAAATTTCATAAAAATTCACGTGTTTTTCCCCACCTCTATCGACTGGGCTAATGATGCTGAACAAGAATATATATGCTTTAGGGGGAATATAAATACATACGGGTATTTTTCATAACTCTTCTTTCGATTTAAGACTATTATTATGTTGATGATAATGAAATGCTCTGATGTCGACAATTCCTGATTTTAATATACATATATTACGCATTTTATCTTTGAGCGTGACAATAAATTTCCTTGGCTCATGCGTTTGAATTTAATTTTTAGTTCCATTAAATTTTATTACGCTCGAACTATGCGATTTGGGCTGCTGATGGCTTAATCCTAGGAGTACGTGATGGCATTACGGCACCTTGCGGAAAATGCGATCAAATCGAATTGTGATCTTGACCAACCTGCTTCACCTTTTTCGCAATGTGACCCTTTAGATTTTGTCTTTTGGTGGTGGTATGCGATAATTGCCTATCGATATATGTGCAAATGCAAATGAATATTGATTAGTGCGAAAATTTAAACAAAGCAACTTATTACGTACTTTACAGATTTTTGAAATTATCATATTTTATGAATCAATTTTAATTTTGATTGTTCATCGCCCAATTTACATTAGCCCACGATAGATGACAATACTACACATTTAGAAAAATATGTCTAATTTTCAGAGCATTCGGGATTTATTTGTTTCTGTATATGTGCTGCTAAATGGAATGTTTTACATAGTTTTTCTCTAATATCAAAATTTGACTTAAAACCATCATTATTTCACATTAAATGTCTCACATATAAAATAAAGCTTCTTGCTGCAATCATCATCATTCATCCCGTATCTTTTGTCCGTGTACAAAATACTTCCACAGTTCTCATTTCCGCCATAATTGTTTGGATTATATGTTGGATACCAATTAAAAAAAGCTGCTCCATTGCCAGTGGTATGCGATATATATTCGCCCTCCTCGCTGAGATCATTAACATCAATCCAATAAAATTTGGGTGGGCTTAACTTAGCTATTATCGCATCATATTCTTTCTGATTTTGGATGCTGGCCAAGTGAGCCCCCAACTGATGGCATCTGTGTGCTGCGGCATACCAATCCATCGTCGCGTGTTCTTCTATATAGTAGTATTTAGATCCTATTTTCTTAAACAATTCTGGTTGACCTTTAAACGTTTGTTCGTAATCCTTAAGCTTTTGATCGTGTTCATCATCTATTTTATGCAAAAGTACCAGCACTTTCTCCATGTTTTCCAGCTTTGATTTCAAATCCGCATTTTGCTTCAATAATTCACTTTGATCTGGACAATTATCCTTATCCACTTTGACTTGTTTCTGTAATAAAAACGTGTGATGATAATTAAACTTTTGTTCGTATAATAAGGAATTAAGGAATATGGATTTGCCAATCCCATCAATCAAAGTGTTCAATCGATAGGAGCACATATTTCCCACAATTTTAGGGCTAGAGTTAGTAAATTTGGTTAGTGGATTGCTGATGGCATCCCTTAAAGATCAGTATATGAAACTGTACCGTAATCAACCATGAATCACACAATTTAAAAGGTGCACAATGATTAATCAATTGATTTGTTAGCATACCAGCTCTTTCTCGATATTATCCAGCTTAGATTGTAAAACAGATTTTTCCTTATCCTCCTGGTCTATGGTTTTTATCTGCAATGCGGCCATGTGCCCCAAAATAGGTTTCACTACCTTAAAGCAAAACTTGCCACAAGTATTCTCCAGTTGGGCATCCTTCTCGCAGGTCTATAAATGTATATTTTGTTATTTATTTTTGTTTTCTACTTATTTATTTATTTATTTTTCCATAGATCAGCTTACAGAACTGACACCCAATAAAGGCGGCACAGAGATTAGCAGCGTTACCAAAATAATTTGCATCGTTCTTCACAATTCAGTTGCGTAGACAGCAGATAACTGAAGAAACCGCACCTCTGAAGCATATTTTATATAGAGAACAGAGAACATTATTATTCTGATTCACGTAAGCATTATCAATTTTGCTGCTTTAATGGTGCTCGACATGAGACCAGATTAAATACAAAATTAAAAGATTAAATACAAAACTCGCAAAGTATATATTGATCAGAATCAACAACTGAGTCACGCAGATCCATTTTATTTCAATGGTAACTTTAAGTTCGCATAGTCGACTGCAGCATTCTCCTTGGTATTTTTTTACTCTCAGATTCACAGATCAATGAGAAAGCTACAACACAGATTATAGCTAAAGCAGTTTTCTCAGAACTCTCATTCCAATCAAATTTCATAAAAATTCACGTGTTTTTCCCCACCTCTATCGACTGGGCTAATGATGCTGAACAAGAATATATATGCTTTAGGGGGAATATAAATACATACGGGTATTTTTCATAACTCTTCTTTCGATTTAAGACTATTATTATGTTGATGATAATGAAATGCTCTGATGTCGACAATTCCTGATTTTAATATACATACATATGTATATTACGCATTTTATCTTTGAGCGTGACAATAAATTTCCTTGGCTCGTGCGTTTGAATTTAATTTTTAGTTCCATTAAATTTTATTACGCTCGAACTATGCGATTTGGGTTGCTGATGGCTTAATCCTAGGAGTACGTGATGGCATTACGGCACCTTGCGGAAAATGCGATCAAATCGAATTGTGATCTTGACCAACCTGCTTCACCTTTTTCGCAATGTGACCCTTTAGATTTTGTCTTTTGGTGGTGGTATGCGATAATTGCCTATCGATATATGTGCAAATGCAAATGAATATTGATTAGTGCGAAAATTTAAACAAAGCAACTTATTACGTACTTTACAGATTTTTGAAATTATCATATTTTATGAATCAATTTTAATTTTGATTGTTCATCTCCCATTTTACATTAGTCCACGATAGATGACAATATTACACACTTAGTAAAATATGTATAATTTTCAACGCTTTCGGGATTTATTTGTTTCTGTACATGTGCTGCGAAATGGAATGTTTTACATATTTATTTTCAATAACAAAATTTGACTGAAAATTATTATTATTTCACATTAATTGTCTCACATATAAAATAATACGTTTTTCTGCAATTATCATCATTCATCCCGTATCTTTTGTGTACGTACCAAAAACTTCCACAGTCCTCATTTCCGCCATAATTGTCTGGATTAAATTTTGGATACCAATTTAGAAAAGCTGCTACATTGCCAGTGGTATGCGATATATATTTGCCCTCCTCGCTGAGATCATTAACATCAATCCAATAAAATTTGGGTGGGCTTAACTTAGCTATTATCGCATCATATTCTTTCTGATTTTGGACGCTAGCCAAGTGAGCCCCCAACTGATGGCATCTGTGTGCTGCGGCATACCAATTCATCGTCGCGTGTTCTTCTATATAGTAGTATTTGGATCCTATTTGCTTAAACAATTCTGGTTGACCTTTAAACGTTTGTTCGGAATCCTTAAGCTTTTGATCGTGTTCATCAATTTTCTTATGCAAAAATACTAACTCTTTCTCCATGTTTTCCTGCTTTAATTGCAAATCCACACTTTGCTTTTGACAATTATCCTTATCCCCTTTGACTCGATTCTGTAATAAAAACGTGTGATGATAATTAAACTTTTGTTCGTATAAAAAAGTCATTAAGGAATAAAGATTTGCCAATCCCGTCAATCAAAGTGTTCAATCGATAGGAGCACATATTTCCCACAATTTTAGGGCTAGAGTTAGTAAATTTGGTTGGTAGATTGCTGATGGCATCCCTTAAAGATCAGTTTATGAATCTGGACCATAATTAACCATGAATCACACAATTTAAAAGGTGCACAATGATTAATCAATAGTTTTGTTAGCATACCAGCTCTTTCTCGATATTATCCAGCTTAGATTGTAAATCAGATTTTTCCTTATCCTCCTGGTCCATGATTTTTTCCTGCAATGCGACCGATTGCTTCAAAATAGGATTCACTACTTTAAAGCAATAACTTCCACAAGTATTCTCCAGTTGAGCATCCTTCTCGCCGGTCTATAAATACATAGTTTGTTATTTAATTTTGTTTTCTACTTATTTATATATTTATTTTTTCGATAGATCAGCTTACAGAACTGACACCCAATAAAGGCGGCACAGAGATTAGCAGCGTTACCAAAATAATTTGCATCGTTCTTCACAATTCAGTTCCGTAGACAGCAGATAACTGAAGAAACCGCACCTCTGAAGCATATTTTATATAGAGAACAGAGAACATTATTATTCTGATTCACGTAAGCATTATCAATTTTCCTGCTTTAATGTCAATGGTGCTCGACATGAGACCAGATTAAATACAAAATTAAAAGATTAAATACAAAACTCGCAAAGTATATATTGATCAGAATCAACAACTGAGTCACGCAGATCCATTTTATTTCAATGGTAACTTTAAGTTCGCATAGTCGACTGCAGCATTCTCCTTGGTATTTTTTTACTCTCAGATTCACAGATCAATGAGAAAGCTACAACCAGATATTATAGCTAAAGCCGTTTTCTAAGAACTCTCATTGCAATAAAATTTCATTAAAATGCACATGTTTTTCCCCACCTATATCAACTGGGCTAGTAATGCTGAACAAGAATATATATGCTTTATGGGGAATATAAATTCATACGGGTTTTTTCATAGCTCTTCTTTCGATTTAAGACTATTCTTATGTTGATGATAATAATCTGCTCTTAAGTCGAACATCGTTGATATTAATGCAGCCAAATTGATAATGCTTAACTTATTTCTGACAATAAATAACGACTATAAAAATTGAAGTATAAATTTAAAATAACGATTTGTTGGCCAATTCAAGTTTATCCTACACAAATACATCTTTCGACGGATTCTGTGTTAAACGGATACTTAGATAATTGGCATACAAAGTCGTTGACAATTCAGAGTCAGTTCGATTGGATAGCGCCATCTGTCGTCGAAAATGAATTGAAAGTGGAACAATTTGCATGCAGGCAGAGCTGATCGCTCCAGAATGGCATCAGTGATGCGCAATACAAGCAACAGTGATGCTCATGCTGTTCACTAGTGATGCTCACTTTAGAGACAGAAAAATTTATTGAAAAAAGTGTTTGTTCGGTTGCCGCCCAGTATATCGTTGTCGATATACCCCTGAGCCGCTAAGTAACAGGCATAGCGATATATTGGTGTTACCGATAGGCAAAGTGTGAAAAGTATAATATTATTCGACATACATATATTAATTAAGTTATAATTAGTTTAATTGAGAATTTTCCTTCTACGGTGTATTTGGTTGTTCTCCACATAGTTTTATAATATTTAGTTGATTTTAGCAGTCTGGCAACTCAAGCTATGAACCACTCACGCAAGTTTCGATATTCAGCACGGCCTATCGATTCCGCTGCTTCGAACTTGTTCATCCGCGAACTACACAACGTCAACAAAAAGAAATAAGAAAAAAATACGCCTACGCCTACGCCGGCTTTTTGAGTTTGTTAAAAACACATTGAATTTTGTGCATATTTAAAAAGAGAACAAAATGCTGGAAACAATTTATAACCTGCCATTTCACATACTGGTGCCACCCAACATCAAAGTGCGGCGCTTCTCCATTCCGATGCCATCACCCATGGCTGTGTTTTCGGTGGTGCTGCTTTCCTATTTCCTGGTCACTGGCGGTAAGTCAACCGACAGATGAATAAACATGTTAACTTGAGCTTAATTTGTATATTTTGTAGGTATAATTTATGATGTGATTGTGGAGCCACCGAGTGTGGGCGCAACTGTCGACGAGCATGGACACTCGCGACCCGTAGCCTTTATGCCATACCGCGTGAATGCCCAATATATTATGGAGGGACTCGCGAGCAGTTTTCTATTTACCATTGGCGGTCTCGGCTTCATTATTATGGACCAAACTCATGCGTCAGGCAAAACGAATCTCAATCGGCTGCTTTTAACCGCAATGGGATTCATCTTCATATTGGTCTCGTTCTTTACGACCTGGCTATTCATGCGCATGAAACTGCCCAGCTATTTGCAACCTTAAAACAAATGGATTAACTTATTTGTAGCAATAGGTGCACAATCGAAAATCTCTATTAGTATTACATTTTGTATTCGATATTAAAATGTTTCCTAAGCGAAGAATTGTTCAAATTTGAAAAAGTGTAGCGCCTTTGGCAGATCAACTGGCTGAATGAATTTGAGGTAAATAAACAAATTGGCGTCCCAGGGCACAAAAATCCCAAATAGTTCTCAGTTTGCATTGCGGCGCCCAAGCAAGCACAACAAGCGCGCTCCTTCTATTTATATATACATAGAGAACTATAACTATATAGAAAATCTATTTTGGTTTTTTTCGACAATATATATGCAAAACAGAGTAAAACAAAAAATCATACAGAAAATAGTCATAAAAAAATATTCGGTTAATAATTTAAATAAATAATAATTAAACAATTGAAAAGTTGAAAACAATTATTAAATGCTTATTCAAGTGATGTAACCGATTCTGATTAATTAAAATTAAGAGAGACTGCGAATAGATTGAAGAAGCAGCAGCAGCAGCGGATTCAGTTGAGCAACTGCGTCGCAGTTTGTTTACAAGAACGCCACAAGAAATGTCGAAAAAGTGCAGCGTGCGCTCCTTGAGCGATAGCTCGTTGGCGGAGCTGGCCAATCTGCTGGTGTCCACCATTAGCTATGTGCAATATGCGCCCGATGTCCATTTGGATATTAATATTGTGATGGTTGAGTTGAATGAGTATTTGTCCCAGGCGGGCGCCACATCGAATATCTATCAGGATCTGTTGCGTGTGATCCTCAGCTCGGATTATCTGGAGGCGAATATGCGTTTCACCTGCCTGCAAATGTTGCTCAATTGTGGCGTTCATTTCCTCCTCACCGAAGTCTTTCCGCCCAGCTACTATGAGAAGATACTGCAGGTGATTGCCGCACAAGGTGCCGGCTTGCGTGTCCTAAATCTGAAGGGAATTTGGGTCAAAGAAGATCACATGCACTACATGTATGAGATTGTGAGGCGTTGCAAACAGTTGGTCAAGCTTTATGTCCCATATATAGCAAACGATCAGCTACTGGAGGAGATTGCCATCAATTGTCAGCATCTACAAATTCTGGATATATCGGGTGAGACGGATATCACTGAGATTGGCATCGATCTGCTGGCCAAGGGTGTGTGTGCACAATCCCTCACCGTTGTGGATGTGGGCATGCCCGGCGAGGAGAATATATGTTACTCCGACATAGCGCTAATCTTGGAGAACTGTCAGCGTGTGGAAACATTGTCCACCTACTCGTTTGTGGGCGCCGCTTTAAAATTCATCTACGACAACATTGACACCAATTTCAAGTGCCGTCTAAAATATATCCATGATACGGCCACCGATGAGCCCACGCTACAGGTGATCCTCCAGACCTGTCCACAACTGGAGACCCTCTATCTGGACTCACCCAAGCTGGGTTCACTGCGAGCTTTGCACACGCGCACTTTGCGCAAATTGAAGATTTGTAAATTTGCTGTTGCCGAGCTGCTGGCGCTGCTAGAGCGTCCAATGGGCCGGAATCTGCGACATCTGACCATGATCAAGGGCACTGGCAATCTGGAGCTGGGCAAGCTGGCCCGCCTCTGCCCCTCGCTCATCGATCTCGACTGCTATGTACTGGAGAGTCTCAGCTATGCACAGTCGCAGGCTCGCTTCCAGCAGCTGGAAGGTCTCGAGATACTCAGCTGCGATATATTGACCAGCTCCTTGAAGGCGTTCCTCTGCAATGCGACGGACCTGAAGCGACTGGCGGTCGATTCTGTCGATTTTACAGATGCGGATATAGTCAGGTAGTGTATAGTGTATCGGGGGATTTAATTGTTATTGTTTGCTTAAAGCTTTAGAAGAGGGATGAATTTAAATTAGGATTTTAGAATTGTGACACAAAATACGCAGTCTGATCTGGACAGTTTACCACTGTATCATAAAGCTGCCAAGCACTGAGACTGCAGAAAGATTTTGATTTACAATGGAAATAATTTATATGGATAATTTATATTGGAAAAATCATTAAATTTAGTATATATATTATGGTCTAGTATTAAATTTAGAATATTTAAAATAAGTGCAATATTATTTATATTACTTTATTTATATGATTATTGCTTTTCATCAAGCATGTTTGTGCAGCACGATTTCAAAGTGCTGGAGGATATTTGGTTTACGCTGGCGCCAGAGCTCACTGTACAGGCCGTGGAGGTGAGTTGCAGTTGCAATACCTTGCCTATTCCGTTATTAATTGTATAAACCTTTTTTATAGCTTCTTATGGACAGCTGCCCGGAGCTGCAGTCTGTGGGTCAATTGACGGGTTGGTCCTTGTCACCGGATGATTTGGCGCTGATCCGTGGACTGCTGAAAAGTGGCAACTCAAGCCTTGTACTGACTTCAAATGGTTTACTGGCTTGAACATATTTTGTTTTTGTGCAGTGTGTTTTAATTATGCATATTTGCTGGGAACCATTAAAATGCACCTGACAATTGTTTTCTGAGCTTTAGTTTTGAGTAATGACAAAAAAAAACTAAGATCAACTTCATTTCTGCTCTTTGCAGCGCCTGCAATAGATGCCAACTGGATGGTAACGCCGGTGGCGCAACAGCGACGCAGCGTGGAGCAAACATTTCTATAATATTACTTATAAAAATACTTATAGCTTGTGCTTTGTGATATTTATGAAATAAAAACTTTGTTGGATTTAAAAAGAATTGCTTGTTCTTGAGTGTGCCCAGGCTTCAGTAGTGTTGTGTTTAGTATTTTTTTCTAGCTGCGTTGCACAGCTGTAGCTCAGGGCTGTCATGACTTTGTAAGGGTTTATTCAAATCTTTGTGAATACATTGATGAATTAAAACAGCTTATAGAGAACTGATAATTAAAACAAAAACTGGTAATTTCATTAATTTCTGATTTTTGCATTTATTATTTAATGTTATGGCCACATTAATGCGGTTGGCTAAACGCTGCCAGTGCAATGTGCGCCATTCGACAACCCTGTCGCACGAATCTACTATTCATGCGCACAAAAAAAGAAGTCCAGCGTTGGAAAGTATTGTGCGACGAGGCAACGGAAGAATTTATAAACGAATCTCATATTAGGCTAATTAATAAGAAAAATATTGCATTTCACAAATAACAATCCAATCGAACGAGTCGGTCTCAAACGAACGCAGTGTTGTCATTATAGTGAAAACTATGAAAAACTATAAAAACAAAAGGAAACAACTTCCGCAGACGTCAGCAGCAGAAGCAGCATCAGCAGCAATTGCAGCAGCAGCAACAACAGCGTCAATTGTATTCGAGACAGTTTTTGGCTCAAGCACCGTTTTTCCATTTACATATGCTGAAATTATGCAAAACGAATCTCATTTTAATAGATTTGTAATTTGTGCGTTAAGCGATTCAGTTGCGGCGATTCAATTGTTTTTTCACTGAGCTTTGCCGTTGTCATGCATTTTGTCACACAACAGCGGCAACACCAACAACAACAACCAACACAACAACAAAAGGCATCATCATCATCATCAGCAGCAGGAACAACAACCACAACAACAGCAACAATATTAAGCGGCACTCGCTTTGTGTCCCTCTGCAAATCTTCCAGCCAAGGCGCTCTACCCAAATCCTTAGCCACCGCTCAAAGTCTCCTTCGTCAATCCTCGTCACAGCAACAACAACAAAGGCACAAACGCGCCGCCAGTCTTAATCTTCAATCCACGCCCATGTAAGTGTCCAGCAAATGCTTCTTCCTTTTTACTCTTCCACTGCTCGTCTCCTCCTGCTCTTCCTTATGTCCAAAACCAAAACAACAAACATGTTTGTTCTACTTTTACTTGAACTACTTTTAGCTTGAAAAAAAAGTATACATAAATACAGTGGTCGCTCGCTTGGACGTAACGTTTCGATTCCACAGCTGTTATAAAAATTATTAAATAAATTATGCGTAATTGGCACCATTTTAAGTGCACCACTTCAAAATAAGAAAAAAATTATTCAAATTTGGTTTAGAGCGTCTGAAAAAAACAATGTTTCCAATTGGCGAGCGACCACTGTACTTAAATATATATATTTTTGGTGTAGGTTTTCTTGCTGGTTTGCATGTTGATTGAAACAGTTACAGTTATTTGCCAATAAATTGCATGTCGTATGTTCTTTATATAAATACATATGTACCTAGTATATTCTTCTATTCTACTCGTAATCATAGGGTTTGAATTATCAGCAAAAAAAAGTGTCAAAGAGATAATATTCAGTTACCCATCGCCGTTGCCTCTTCCAGTGTGTACATACACATAAAAAAAAAATTCGTAACATTTTTGTTTCTTCGTTTTTTTTTCCAATAGGAACTAGGTAGTGAAAAAATAAGCTTGAAAATCAAAATCTGTTTGTGATGCGATCCTTAAAATTTATTTGTTTATTTGTGTTTGAGTAACATTATTTCTGGTAAACAAATTTATATATATTCCATGCATTTATTTATGTGTTATGACACATTTCTCACAGAATCGCCCATACGCCATGCTCTACAAACAGATTTCTGAAAACTGAGAAAAACAACTAATTTAATGCAATGCATTATTAAAAGATCATTTTAATTACTCACATAATAATGATTTAATATTAATAGTTTATTAAATAACCTAGTTTTCGTAACTGAAATAAATAGTTTTCGATTAGCTTGTTGACTTTAGCCTTTTGCTAGCTTTTAAATTGGGTTCAAGATTTACCTAATCACGCCTTTCGCTTGCATTAAAAAAATTGTGCAAAATTTGCACTGGTTGGTTTTGGATTCCCGGAATTTGCATAATATTCAGGCAAGTGCGACCAGCGATGCGTATAAGGCACAATCTCCGTGGTCGACTTTTATATACATTTATATATATACATATATATATATACTCGTATATATATATATACATGTGTATAAGTTGCTGTTTTATTTTGCCGGCGTGTGGCCCGCTCTCGCTCTCCAAATCGCGTGAGAAAGCAAAAAAAAGTTAATTAAATAATTAGCAAACATTTTGGGAAGCGGGTGCCGCCAAATTGCTGCTGCTCATCGTAAGTTATTAATGGCCCATTGGCCAAATGTGCTGAAAGTGCTAAAAATAAAACAAAAAATGAAAAAAAAGAAGAAAACCTTTCGTGTTTCGTCATCGTTTTTCCAATGATGACATACATTTGGGGAACTGTCAAGTATGACCCAAAATATATCAAAAATACTAACAACAAAGCAAATAAATCACAGAAGCGGCACGCCAAAGACTATATATACCCTTGCAAACTATCTGATATCTAACTTTAACTATAAAGAAAAAACTACAACCCCCATGATCATAAACCAAATAGTCGTGACGTGATTCTTTCTTTTAATTTCGATTATATTTTGAATGCATAATAAAACACATATTTAGTGAGATAGGTCGGCATGGTAAACCATATTCAGAGAAGAACTCAACTTTCAAGCGATTATTCAAGTTGTGGGTATAGTAAAATGCTTAAATTAAATTAATTGAAATGGTATTACAGCTGGTGAACAGATGAACATTGGTATATAGACTCGGCTAGGGTGGCAGATCAAGAATACATATCTACTTAAAGGGTTCTCAGTAGTTTTGCTTCAATGCGTTACAAACTTCGCCACACAATTATAATACCCTCTGCCAGGGTAAGCAAATATAAAAGCGTCAATAATAAAACAAATATTTATTGATGTTTGTTTGCTATTTGTTTCAGTTCTTCTATTTTCATAGTTTGTTTTTTATTATTAATATTATTGATTTTCGCTAGAGCTAGCCACGATAGTTGTGTTATAATTGCCAACTCTGATGCTAGTTCACAACAATTTCAATCAGAGTTGCCCGATCTGCTGCGTCATGCAGTCATTTAACTATAGATTCATATTTAGCCATAGTCATATCGTAATAATTATATTCATTGTCGTTGTCGTTGTTGTTGTTCTTGTTCATGTTACGCGCATGATGCATTTCCTTTGAGATTCGCCCCCCCAATTTTGCTTGTAGACAGCCGTAGACAGGCCCTTGTCCCCCAAACCGGAGGTTATCTAGCTGAGGTATTAAAAGCTCAAACGGTGAGTTTTATGATTGCCTACCCATTTTCACATCGATTTTTGCCAGCTATTGTCCCATAATAAATTCTGGAATTTCTATAGCTGTTTTTTTTTGGTTTTTTGTTTTGTTTCGATTCTTAAGCATGCTCCTTTGAATTCCTTTAGGATTTCTTGTCATATGTTTTGCGTACCTTTTTGCTTGTTAACATTAAATTATGGTTTTATAGACGTGCAGTGAGTGTAATTATTTTGTCATTAATTTGTCGATGCCTGCAAGGGCTTTAAACCTCGAGTGATTCTCTCTCTTTTTGTATATTTATTTATTTGTTAACTAATGTAACCACGTGCTTAATGTTATATTCTTATTTTCAACATAACATTTATAAACTCAAGATAAGCTTGTTTTACTTGTTTCGTGTCGAATCCGATTTTAGACAGAAGCTGTACGGGTAGCGGCAGGGGCAACTTCAAGTTGAAAGAGTGAGAGAGAGAGAGAGAGAGAGAGAGAGAGGGAGAACTACATTTGATGCTTAATAATAACCATTGTTTTATTTGTGTTTTTTTTTTTTAAATGAGTCAGCCAAGTGAGTTATCATCTAATATATTTTTGCACTCAAACCTTTGTGCTACTATCATCAAATAAAGGCAGCTGCTATCTGAATTGATTGCCTTCAGCCATGTAAAATGTCAATTAAAAAGACACAACCAAAGTATGAAATGAGAAAAATTGTTCAAATTGGAAGGCATTCTCAGTGCAAATGTGTGATCTTAGTTAGTATTTAGCTGTAAAACAGACACTGCTGTTTTGTTTTGCTTTTATTTTTTTTGTTTGTTATTTAATTCTATTAAATTTCAAGAGCAGAAAAGTGCAGTCAAACTTGACACAGCTGTTTTTTTTTTTTATTGTTCTACGAGTTGTTTAATGATGGCTACTAAGAAATGATGTCTTATTTAATAGCGCACAAAACTAATCGATAACTTTGAAAAGCAACTTAAGCGTGTTTAATCGTAAATAACTCAGTTGTCATTGCATATACCCATAGATAGATCACAATACAATTCAGAAGGTATTCGACAATTGGGTTTAGAGCAGTAGTAACAGTAATAAAATAATTGATATATTTAACTGTTAATGATTATGAAAATATCTTATCGCGCTTATCTAACAGTGGACTTACTTACTCTGGAATAATAAAGTATATCAACATATGTAAATGTGTGGGTCTCTGTGTGTGTCTGTGTGTGTGTGAGTGTATTTCCGTGTGCTGGTGTTTTGTGTATACGGCTAAGTGATTATCAACAATGTCAGTGATTGGCAATTGGATTGAGACATCCATTCTCAGTTTGTATTTCAACCCGTTAACAGTTGTAATTTTCTGCTATTAATGAGGAAATCACAGGAGCTCTATGTTATTTGGTAAAGTCAGAGAGAGAGAGAGACAGAGAGAAAAGAGAGAGAGAGAAAGAGAGAGCTTAATGTATTTGATACAGATCCTTAACTTGGAGCATGTACTTTTATTTCGTTTGGTTTTTGCTCTTTGCCATTTCTTTCCGTTTTTTTATTTTCATGTGTAATCTTATTGTAGGATTAAAGATATTGATATAACCACACCAACAACAACAGCAGCAGCTGCAGCAACAGCTGCTACAACAACAACAACGTCGTCTGCTTCTGCTGTGAGCAGCATTGAGCTGCCTGCCAATGCCACAAACATGATTTGTGATGCACAACAACAAGAAGAACTGCAGCAGCAGCAGCAGCAGCAACAACAGAAGCAACAATTGCCCGAACAGCAGCAGCAACAACAACAACAGAAGCTGGAAGCTGAACAGGATGATAATAAATCCACACATAGTAGCAATAATGGTGACAGGTAGGTGATCAGCTCACAACTCTTGCCACAGTCCGACCAGCCAGAAACGTTAAGTATTTAAGCTGCATTCATTTTTCGATTCACACAACTTGTACAAAATTTGCATGCCTTCTAGTTCAACATGTTCTGCACTATAAATTCTAAACTAAAGAAAAGAAAATATCGATTTATAATATGTATATAGACATAATGAGCAACTCTCTTGTTTTAGGCGAGATTCCATCTGTGATGAAATCACAATCACAACTACAACTACTACTGGCAACAGCAACAACACAAGCACTTTAAGCACCATACAGGAGGCATCTGGCACACTCGAGCGGAGCAGCATTTCCACAATTTCCACATCGTTGTCTTCAACACAAAACACTTCCGCTTCCGCTGCGCCTGTCTCCAGTAATGAGACGCTCGCCCATAGCAACAGCAGGAGCAGCAGCCAACAAGACGTAGAGCCTGCCAATCAGCAGTTAGGTCCACAGGCTGGCACACCCAGCATTACCATTGTCCAGACCGAGGCCAGGGAGCAACTGCAACAGCAGCAAACGCCATCGCAGAGCGTCGATTCCAACGGGCAGCGGGCGAGCAGCTCCTGCACGGATAGTCCAAGCAGTCGCAAAAGCTCAACCAGCTCCAAGGGCAAACCAGCCAAGTTATCCACCTCAAGCAGTGGTCGGGATGAGGTAAGAAAGATCAAAAACGGCATCATTTAGTTATTGGTTCACTGTGCAAACGGACTGTCAACTAAAATTGAGAGACTGCACTTTTTATTAGGGACAAATTACACAAGTTCCAGTTGAGGCCTTTGCGTTGTCAACTTTATAAAGTTAAAAATTAATTTCAAACTTTCTATTTTGGATCTTAAAACTGTTTTAAACGGTTTTATCCATTTGGCTTTTTGGTTTTCCTAAAGTTTCATTCACAAAAACTTAGGTTCTACTATTGAGAATAGCTTTCAAAGCAGCTCTTTAATTGCTCTTCGTTTTGGGCTCTGAGCAAGCACACTTTTGAGCTTTCACTTGCTCATTAGCACGTCACTAATCACAACAAATACAACACATGAAATATGTGTGAAAATCGACTAAGAATTAATATAACAAAATAGACGCTACGCAAGTGTTGATAACAGATCTAAGCAATAGATAATGAACTCGTGCGACAGTTATCAAAATTGATTATTTGAAAACCAGTTGATTCCATTAGTCGTATCGTTTTTATGCTCCACTTTTCAAACTTGCTCAGCTTGTCGAGCAAAAAGTTTGGTAACAGATTAGAAATACCCTTCAATATTGAAAGCCGATAAAATGGCAAAAGTGCAAGACAGCAGTGATTAACTACTTGGTACCCTATAAATCGCATTAAATGCTTGAGCATAAATTCAGTTAGTTTAGCTATCTTCAAATTATAATTTAGTTAATTAAATTGTTAACTACAAAAATAAGGCATTTGAATAGACTGACCCGATCTTCTATACGAATCAAACATATGTATTTTGAATAGAAACAGCATATTACCGCAAGAGAGCCCTGTCCAATTCCATACAGGGTATGAGCCGAAAAAGCTCATGGCACACTAAATATTTATTGGTCGAAGCTTTACCACATTGATAAGGCTGATAGTATTGAGTGAGTGTCATTCGGGTTCTGCAAATTAGAATTCAATGTGCGAACCGATACGGCGAAGGCAGCAGCAGCAGCAGTGGCAGTCTGTCAAAAGTATACGGATCGATCGCGTCAGATTATACAACAAATAGTAAAATAAATGAAACCTCGTTAATGAACAACAATTATAAAGTTCGGGAAGAGCTCGTATTCAGTTCGTTGATAAGCGCCGCAAACACCTGTTGAAATCCCAAAAAGAAGTAGTCACGCCGAAAAATTTGTATGATTCAGACAAGTCGTACGTACTGTTTGACTACTTGCGATGACTAATAATTGAACGCAACTAAAAATCATAGAACATATATGTATTTCAGGATGCCCAGAGCAAAGTAAGCGAATCAGATAGCGTCACTTTGCGTGTGGAACCAACCAGCAACAACGGCAGCAGCTCCACAGCCAATGAGAAGCCCACCAAGGGCACATCCCGACTATCTGAGCGCGCCAAGAAGAAGTCCTGGTACAACGTCATCTATCCCAACTATAAGTCACGCGCAGAGGATTTCAAGAAACTGTTCAAAGAGGTGCCCAACGAAGAGCGCCTAATTGTTGGTGAGTATCTGGCTTATAAATGAATGACAAAGTCACGTTTTTCTACTCCATACGACCAAAGTTGCTAAGTGTTGCATTAAAATTGAGTGAAATTAACCTTTAGCTTTGACTTTTCGAATTAAAAAATAAGTGAATAAGTTGAAAGTATTGTTACTTAATATACAATAAGATTCATTGAACACCTGTTGCTGTTTTAGAGTTTATTTTGTGGCAAAGATAACAAACAGTTATGGTTAACAACATGTATTATCAGAAATGATTGTAAATGAGGTGTTTCTGCACTTGTTTGATTTTAGCGTGATTACTGATGACTGATTACTTTGTATAACAAAATAGTATGCCATATGACATGCCCATACTTTTCTCTATTACATAAAAGTCGACTATAAATTGGGCGTCAAGCATTTGTCAGCTGTGGCATAAATAAATTGCCAAATCATATTTTGCATATATTATATATTTAGATAGGTTTGATAGGTAACATCAAATTCTTTTCTTAGCACAACAAGTGTCATTGAACCCTAAGCAATATATTCACATAGCTGTCTACACTTTAATTAAAATCAATGTCAACACGTAAAATATGATATGACATTTATGGACGGAAGACGTGTCACTAGGATTATTCGCTTAAGCAAAAACAATTCAGTTTATTTCTAGTCCACTAATAATTAGCATTTCTATATTTCAGACTACTCGTGTGCGTTGCAGCGTGATATATTGGTGCAGGGCCGTCTATACGTGTCACAGAATTACGCTTGCTTTCATGCAAACATCTTTAGCTGGGAAACGTATGTGAGCATCAAATGGAAGGATGTGACGAATATAACGAAGGAGAAAACCGCTCTGGTTATACCGAATGCCATTTCGATATCGACCGCCAAGGAGAAGTTCTTCTTTGCGACATTCGCGTCACGTGAGAAATCACATTTGATGCTCTTTCGCGTCTGGCAGAATACATTGATGAACAAACCGTTCTCGCCTCAGGAGATTTGGCGTTATGTGCACAATTGCTATGGCGATGAACTGGGCTTAACTTCGGACGATGAGGATTATATAGATCCCACACTGAATGCAGCGGAAACTGATAACTATTCAGATTTTCAAACGGCCATTGATGATCTCGGTGGCGAGCAGAGCAACTCAAATCAGAGCATTAACAATACAGTGCAACCGCAAAGCGGCAACAGTAGCGCCAGCAGCGGCGGTGGCGTCGGCAGTGCCACAACACGCAAATCGAAAACGAAATATTTCTTCAACTCAAGCAAATCGTCGAATTTGAATTCGTCGGCCAACGCCTCGGCAAGTGGCTCAGACAATAAAATCAACGACAATACACGCAAATCCAACAAGAAAATGAAGACCAATGCCAAAGAGCTGACACTCAGCTCCATCAAGGCAGCGGAGCAATCAGTTAGCGTCACTCTTAGCGTGCCCAGCACCAACACCAGCACCAGCAATAACAGCACCACCAACAGCACAACAACAACCAACACAACCACAACTGCTCCAAGCACAGCCACAGCCAAAGTTGGTGGTGGTAGTGGTAGTGGTGGTAGTGGTGGTGGTGCTACGGCTTCTGAGAGAAAAGTCGATAAGCTCAGCGGCCATGCTGCAACGGCAACGACATCTGAATCAACACAGAACCATCCCCCAGATGCCAAGCGCAAAGTGACCAAAAATCAGCGACAACGCGATGTTGAATTGGCGAACAAAAATAATGCCGAAGTTGGGCCCACAGATGTCTCGGACTCATCTGACTCCGAGGCGAACAATCTGCCGTAAGTGACATATATCATTATAAATATAAGTCTTTACATGCAAAATTCTTATTTCTTATTACATATTTGATTTGATAACTTTGCTGTTATGCTCTGCAGGTTTGTGCCGAGCACGGAATGTACATCGACGCACGAGGGCCGCCAAATTGTGCACACAATTCTGCCCATTCGTGTGGATACGCTGTTCAATTTGCTGTTCTCCAAATCGAAATTCATTGTGGACTTCCATGAGGTGCGAAAATCAGCAGATTTAACGGTGGGCGAGTGGCACAAGAACGATGATGGTCAGAATGTGCGGCTGGTGAATGTCACCGTACAATTGGCCGCCTCAGTGGGCCCGAAGACCTCAAAGGTGAGTTGACAGCATGTCTAATGTGGTTGCCAATAGTTAAGACTTGTTGTTGCCTGCCCCCCTCACACAGGTCACCGAATTTCAAACGATGCGTGAGTGCAGCAAGCCGGGTGAACTCTATTCGATAGATGTGAACAGCGTCAATGCGGGCATACCCTATGCGGATAGCTTCAGTGTGCTCATCCACTTTTGTTTGGCGCGGTGAGTGAGACGCGATTATGATTTCAATAAGTACAGCTATAAAAATGTCGATCTTATTTTGCAGCACTGTGGATGATCATACGATGTTGTCGATACATGCGCAAATCAAATATAAAAAGTCCATTTGGGGCGTTGTCAAGGGATTCATTGAGAAGAACACATGGGCTGGACTGGAGGATTTCTTTGGGGCTCAACTGCATGCGCTGCAGAGCGAAACTTGTATACCGCCCGCCAAGGGCAAGGGACGACGGCCAAGACGTGGTAAGCATTCATTCAACAGACACTAACATTAAGCAGTAACAACAGCAACGAAAAGCAATGCAAACAAAACATAACAATGCAAAATCAATATGCGAATACAAATACATTGTCAATGCCAAAATGCCAAAATGCCATTGCTATTGCTTCTTCTAATCACACAAAATGCACGCACAACTAGAGCAAGCTACAAACTAGCTGTTAATTATAAAAAGAACAACAACATCAACACGCAGGCTTCAAACATCAGCAACAATTGGTTACTTCAGCAACAATAGTAACAGCAACAACAACAGCAGCAAGCAGCACGGACAATGACAGCAAACAATTGACTTTTTATCATTCACAACAACATCATCATTCACAGCATCAACACCAACACTTGCCCCAACATCAACATCAACAACAACCGCAACAGCAACAGCAACAGTTGCAGGCGCCACATCAGCAACATATGCTATGTAATCCACAGCAACAAAATTGTCAGCATCGTAAGGCCAAATTCGACACATTGCCAGGTATATAGCGTATTTATGGCGCTAAGTAATCCCCCATGAGAAAGCAAAAGCGATTGACACCAGGCAGTTTAATTTCGATTTGGGATTTATATATATATAAATATATATATATATATATGTATAGATATATATATGTATTGATAATTATCTATCAATATAGAATTTCAACCGTTTCTATTGAAATGTATTATTCATGCGCAGAAACCGTAGTTGCAATGCTTAAAAAAGTAATTCGAGCCTGTTAAGCTTTGGCGAAAGTGCCCAAAAACCTTCCAATTGGTACTATTATTAGATTTTCATATGTATTTTAGCTACATTGCTAAAATAACCAACAAATAGTTGCAAATTTGAGAAGAAGCAAATGATGTGTTCATATTTAATTATTAATATGTTACTTGTAAAAGCAATTACAATTACTGTAATTAAAACCCGAAATGCAGTCATAATCGACTGATCGGAATTGCTTTTGAAAATAGAGAAAGATATATTATATTTGTGAATTAGATTGACTGGCCTTTTGTGAATATCTATCATTCTTTCTTAATTCCATTCCAAACCATATCGAGTCTAAATTATATTTAAAGCTTCAAATGTAGCTTATATAGTTGCGTGGCTTTAAAAAGCCATTTTCCATCATCCATCATATTTTTAATATATATTTTTCAATATGTTGCTCAAAAACTTGCCTGGCGTGGCAATCGCTCGCGCATCGCTTTTGCTTGAGCCCCGCATCCTGTTTGTTATTTTAGTAATATTGGATCCTTAAAGATAATTTGCATGCTTACACTCATACCTAATTTATGTTGCATTCGAGCGTTGTTTGTTTTTGTTGCTGTAGCTGCATAGCCCACAGTTTTACTGTTTATTTGATGTTGTTTTTTAATATTTTGCATTATTTGCCCATTTGTTGCTTCCGTTCATTACAGGTACCGCCACACAAGTACGCCCCTTGGAGGAAGCAATCGCTGGCTCGGCACAAGCGGGCAAGCCCGAAACACTGGACAACTGGGACTCGAAATTAAAGTCCGCTGGCGTCGTTGTCGGCGCTGGGGCTGCTGCTGGCTTGGCTCATGGAGCTGCTGGTGGCGGCGGCGCTGGCAGTCGTCAGCAGAAGCTGCTGGCCGCTCAACAGCAGCATCAGCTGCTGGCGGGCGGTCAACAATTCGGCCAGGGCCAAGATAGATTCAGACACAAGGGCTTGTCATTCTTTATTATATTCTTGATGTGCTTGCTTCTGGCATTAAATGTGATATTATTACTTAAGCTCTGGAAGCTGGAGGAACACATTGATGTCGATCTCAGTCGCCGTGCCCGCAAGACCACTTTGGCAGCCCTCAAGTAAGTGTTGAACTTGTTACACATTTTATTTATTTATTTTTTTTTTTTTTGTTGCATTTTAGGGAACTACCCAGTACAAATCAAGATTGGCTGGAGTTGTTGCGTCAGCAGGAGCTGTCACACGAAATGGAGATACGCAAATGGCATCAGGTGCTCGAAACGTCCATTGAGCTGCTGAAAAAGGTGAGCATCGTTTGCGAAAAGATCTACAACGATGGACAGCTGCGTCAGAACATTGATTTATTGCATACGGAATTATAAGCAACCAATTAAGACAACCTAAAAATGGAAATGAAAACAAAACAAACAACTGGCAAGCGAGCCAAGCAAAAGCAAAGTAAAATTACGTGTAATTCATATTCATTGTACGATCTCTCGGTTAGCAACCAAAAACAAAATAGCAAAGCAAAAACCAAAGAAATTGTTGCTTCTACATTAGATATATGTTTTATAAATATTTACGAATACGACAAACTAAACTCCCTTAACAATTTATGGTTCTATATTTTATTAATTAATACAAATATACTTTTCACTGTTTCATTATCAAAAGTAAGATGCAAAAATCATTTAAAAATTATTTTATTCTTTTTAAGTTTTGTACTGTACTTCTATGTTTTTGTAGTGTATTTAAGTTTATTTAAGTTAGTTTTAAATATATAATTTTTTTCTCATTAGTTCTCGTAAAAATTCTAACTGATTAATTATTATTCTTTAGCTTATATAATTTTATATAATTTTTTTATTTCATATTTTATCTAACCGGATGTGTTTTCGTTTTTATTTCAGACTGAAAAGACTTTGGCTGAAGTCTTGAGACCCTAGCCGCGCTTTCAGCACAATATATACCCCCTAAACTCACAAGTCCCGTAACAGCCCTCCAAAATCAAGCAAAAGGTCTAATAAATATGTTCACTTAGTTCCTTTTTCGTTCTGGCAACAGCTGAATGCGTTGAGAACACAAAGCCACCAAATAGTTGAAATTGAATTTCAAAATGTAGCACTAAAATCAATATTTAGTCATAAAGAGACAATTATTTGTGTTAATTGGTTAGTTTTGCGCTTAAGTAGTATGGCTTTTAGTTCAGTCTATCAGTTAATCTTTGTATTTAAATTAATGAATTTACATTTTATATATATATATATACTCGTCTAGTTTAGTCTCAAAGTGTTTTAGTCGCTGCATTTATGTTTATGTTGTTTTTTGCGTTGACGCTTTAAAACAATTTCTCAAAGAATTTGAAAAACAAAACAACACATCACACACAGACAACCACACAAACACACATACATACATACATACCAGCAACAGCAAGTGAAAGAAAATCAAACGATTTTTAAATGTGCGCCTTGAATTTTTGTTTTAAAAAATTCATTTAATATATGAAACAACTTTTCCATGTCTGATTGAGCGCAAAAGTTGCAAAATATAAAAATCAAGATTTTTTGTAATTTTGATATAAATTATACCAGAAATGAAAAACAATAAAACAATACAAAAATATTTCTTTACAAGATTTTTGTATATTTACGAATTAAAAAAAAATATATATATATACACAAAGTGTGTGCAATCTTTTTATGATATATATTTTTCTTCGGTTTTGCTTTTGTAACACCTCTTGAATCGTTTTTGGCGCTCCGTTTACAGTCCGAAACCGAAACAATTCACACTATTCAGCATAAGTGCTAAGCATAATTGATAAAATGTGTAAAATCCCATGGCTTATTCATAATATACATATGTACGAGTACTATTATAGATTCAAGTATTCATAGTTTGTAGTTGTTGCATTTTAATGACAAAACTTATCGCAACTTAAGCAACATTAGTGCTAAACATTTCCAATCAAAATGTAGGCAAAAACCACACATTTGAAAATATGTATTAAAAAAAACACATCCCCACATATATGGAAAGCAAAAAAAATAAGAAATTGGCTAACAAAAAGTAAACAAAATTGTTAAAATGCTGTCATTAAGAAATTCTAATTTATTATAAAAGGCATAATATAATTAAAATAAAAAAAAAATTAATTAAAATTAATATTTGAAGTATATTTTAAATGTTTTGGTACAATATGGAAAATGGATAATTGTTGTATGAAACCTTAAAGAACTACACATAAAATACAAATAAGAAGTTTTTAACTTGGATGTCTTATCTGATCGTAATTACATGTGTTCAGTTGATCAATAATATGCCAACGATTATTTAATAATCAAATTAAAGGATTTATCGTTAACATTGTGACTTTTGCTGCTATCTTAAATCGATTTATATCGACTTTTGAGAATGGTGAGCAGTTATCATATTGTTTTATAATTAATTCCAATACTTTTTATTTATTTTCATGTTGTGTGCTTAGCAAAAACTTTAAATTTAGCAAAGATTGTCCACACGTAAACCAAGAGGCTCCACATCTGAAGAAGCTACAATGAATCCCACTGATTGCCACTTGAATGCGTCGCAAAACAAATACAATTCTGTTTTTTTTTTCCGTGTTTTTGTATCCTTAAACTTACAATTTGTAGATGATAATGTCGGCTTTCAGATGCGATATCGAGCGGCATTATCAACTCTCGTTGATTTCGACGCATTGCTGGAATTCTTCGTCTGACGGCCAACTTGATGTGCCTTGATAGCATCAGGATCCTTGGATCTGGGTAATTTTGGCTCAATGAATGCTTTGGCCTTGAGGAATGCCTCTCGTTTAACTTTTGGTTTGATCGAAGCATTCTTGTTGCGTGGTGAAAGAGCCAGACGCATGCAAGATTTACTGGATGCACTGCCACGCGATGATTTGTTGCACTTTAACTTTTTCAGTTTCCTTGGTAAGGTAGGGGTACGCTCGGAGTGCTCTGCGCTCTCCAGTGTTGACGCGATGGGTTTCTTCTTTGGACGCTTACCCGCCATCGTCTCGACCAGTTGATTGACCACCTCCTTCTTGCCCGGCGGAGGCGTTAAGATTGTCGACCATTTTTGTGTGATATGCGTGGCAGTTACCACATTGGTGGCCATTCTCCATCCCGGCTTCAATTTGATCTCTTCCGACATCTTAGAGCGGGTCTTGTGCTGCAGAAACTTTTTGGTTTGGGTATTGTGCTCCGATCCGGACTTGGAATGAGTGTCTCGATTCTGCGTTAAGTCCATTTGCTGCTGCTGCTGCTGCTTGCGACGCATCACCAACATATCATATATGGATATAATGGGTTCATCCATTTTTTTGATATTTCTTGAAATATTTATTAAGACTAGTGTCAATGCTGTAAAATTTCAGGTGATTTTTGCTTGTGATTTGTGATGAATATGTTTTCAGCTCAAGATTTTAACTAAACAACAAAAGCAGAGTTAATACTTTTTGGAAAGTTCAAATATCCAAATTTCATATTGGAAAAAGGTAGTCTACTATAATAAAACCATGTTAAAGCTTTGCTTTCCAATTCGCAGCGGTAAACATTTCCCATGAAACGCTTTTATCTACAATTTTTTTTTGCATTTTCGCATTTCTCAGAATTATTTACCAATGTCCTTTTACTAATCAACTGACCTTTCACTCAGTCAACAAGCTGGCTATCGCTCTTAGAACTGTTGCATACTTTGAGGCAGTCACAAAAATGTGTTTTTGTATATTTTTTTTATATATATATATATGGCAGGAAGAGAGCTCCAGCAAAATATGGAATTCATAATAATAAAAAAAACTAGCTTCTATAAATAACATACACATTTTTAGAGTTATTAAATATTTGTGAGCCCTTTAGTGTTATTGCTCTCGGTTTCAATTAAAATTAAAATATAGGTTAAGTTCAAGGTCTTCTCAATCTAAAAAACCTCTTGGTATTATTTTAAGTACAGACAATGATAAAACAAAAATAATCACTTACTTTGGTTTTTGGGCCAGTGAGTCAAGATTCTTGAATTTTTCCCTTGCATTACAGTTGACAAAGTGAACAAATAAAAAGAAATTGACTGATTGCCGACGGAGTTCAGTAAATGTCGCAATAATATAATAAAAATAAATACGCAAATGGTGAAACAATGTAATTTCGCAGTCATTTCAAAATTGTATAAATTAGCCAAGACAATATTCGAAATATTCGCACATAATACAACTATAGAAAATTCCGCGAATTGTACAAACAAATTATAATACTTCCTTATGTGTGTGGCTGTGTCTGTTTTTGTGTATGTGTTTGTGTGTGTGTGTGTGCGTGTGCGTGAGTGCCTTTGCGCATGTATTGGCGTTTCTTGCTGTCAGCGTCGCGCGCACATTTGCACAGTGCGTATAAGAAAAAAAAGTTCATTGGAAAAAAAAAACAGCAGCAGGCACAAACAGCCACAAGATACGCACATAATTAGAACGAGAAAAAATAGAGGAAGCAACAACAGAATTAAGCGTACAGCAAATTTTTATGGCACATGCCATAAACTTAATAGGCCCACTCCTTTCACATATGCCTGCTGAGTAGAAGTCAAAATCATGATGATTCTGTATACATTGCTTTATCTTATGCACATTTCTTACGCACTGAAAGCTTTGCAAAACAGCTGAAACATTTTATGGTAATATTTTCTTCTTCTTCACAACATACACTTTGAGCTCTCATTGCCATTTTTCTATTGTTAAAGTTTAATGACTGATAAGCTTGAACCAAACACGCACATTTTATTGCAAAACAATTCTTTTTTTTACGAAAATCAAATTTTGTTGGGTCTTAAAAAAACTACTGATATTTGACATTGTCTGCCGGAAATGTTATATATGATTTTAAATAAAACAAAAACGTAACCAAACTTGTTAAACGTCAAGCTTCAACTTGTAAAATTTTTGTATATACACTGTACAAAATTTTGAATGAAAATTATGATTCAAATGGTGAAATTTCTGTAATTCAACTATGCAGCGATTTTTTTTTTCATTATTAAATAAATTATGTTCCTAAATCCAGAATTACTTGAATTTTTTTCTCCCAGTGTAAATCTTCGACAATATCTATCACCAAATCAAGAGCTCAACTGGCTAGACGGTTGCTGTTATTTTTTTTTCTCGCTTAGCATCATAAAATCATTTGTTGCTTTTATCGGTTAAAAGAGTTTACGAGCTCCACGTTTCACTATCAATAACTGATTACAGAGAGAGAGAGAGAGAGAGCCCTTTAACAGAAGCAAAGTGTTACATTGTGTTAGGCAAATGACGCTCTTTAACAGCATGTAAGCTTACAGCAAAGAGAAAGCATAAGCTCCACACGCACGTGCAGTGTGTGCCTTGGGAGACGCAGACGCGCTGCTTAAGTTTTTGGGGAGAGAATTTGCTGTTAAAATTGTCATTCATGCACGGCCTGCGCGCGCTCTTTGACGCTGACTGCGACAGCGACGGTCGCAGCAGCAGCAGCAGCAACAGGCAAACAGCGTTTAACGGTGATCAGTATGAGATCGAAATCGGCCGCCGTTGGTTGTACTACGTAACGCGCATCGCGTCCGCTCGCTGTTGTCAGAAAGTTGTCGTAGTCGCCACCGTTCAGCTTTCAATTCCAATTCAGTTAGTCGATCGCCGCCGCACCAACAACAATGCAGCAGCATTAAGAAGTCAGTTTTTACATCTTTTTTTTCGTTAACCGCGTTTCGTTTCGGTTTCTGTTTCTGTTTCTCGGTTCTCGGTTCTCCCATGTGTTCTGTGTGTGGTTGTTGTTGTTCCTGTCTGTGCGTTTGCTGAAAAAAAGAGTGTTTTCATGTGTCCTCAAAATGTTTCAAATCAAATCAAACAAATGCATTGATGTAAATGAAGAGAAAAAGTGATATCCTCTCGCAACGTGCATCTTGTTGTTTGTTGCGCAGCTGATTTAAAAAAAAAAAAATAAAATAATAATAAAAAAAATATCAATTTTAATAACAACACTCAACTCGTCTACTCCTGCACTCCCCCTCTCTCGCTACCTCCCCGCGCTCCAACCTGAAACTGCAGTCCAAGGAACGAGATTCATCGCCAATTTGCCGATTCGCTGCTTTTGGGTGCGTGTTTTTTTTTTTCATTTTTGTTTTTTCTGCAGTTTTGTTTCTTGACACCCGCTTTTTGTTTTTGCAATGTTTACATTTATATTTTATATATGCACAGACACCCATACATGCATAAGATACATAAACTGACATTCTGCTCTGGCGCTTTGTTTCGCGCGGGCTTTTATTGACAAACTATAACAGAAATAAGGCTCCTCTCTCTCTCTCTCTCTCTCTACCTTTACATCGCTCTCTCCCCCAGTAGCTCTCTCTCCCTTACTCTCTGTTAGACGCGGCTTACAAAATAATTCCATAAAAATTTCTTTGATTTTTGTGCTGCGATTATCGGCCGAAGTTTTGTGATCATTACTTGCAAGTGCTAAAAATAAATAGATCAACAAATTGTGAACAAAGAACAAAAAACATTTTATTATCCATGGATACAAAGAGTCTGTTTTTAATTTTTCAATTTCTCCATGCATAGAAGAGAGCGAAAATCAAACAAATTATATAAATACATATAAAAAACAATAAGAAATTTTGCTTTAGAGAGTTATTAATGCATTTTAAGAATGTTATTAAACTTACTCCTGTTAAAAATTTGTATATCAAATTATGTTAATTATAAATGACTAACTTATTTAATCATTTATATGGCATTCCTTTTATTAATTCATATTTTTTTGTTGCGAAAAAAAATCATTTAAAATAATGATTTTAATAAATTGAATTTTATTTTAGATCTGTTTCTGGTTATTTTTGTTATTTAATCCATACCATAATGAAATATAAATAATATTATAAATGTAATATTTCTTTAATCAATTTAATTATCTTGTCTCTGTTTTTTGCAACTCGTTTTACAGCCTGCAAAATTATGAAATGCGCGTAAAACTTCCATTAATACAAATTCAAACAAAAATAAATATATATATGCATATATACATATATATTGAAAATCGAAAATCACAAATATTTCGTATGTTAAATGCTTGAAAGCCAAACGTGTTTTCATAAAGAAACGTTTTACATTTACAAAAGAGCAACAGCAAATTTAATCCATAAACAAAAACGAGCAACAACATCACAAAAAGGTGATAATGATTATTTCCAAGGATCTTTTCATATTTGGCGAACAAATTTTTGCAACAATTATACCAGAAGGTGGAGCCGCTCTTGCCACGCAACAGCAGCAGCAGCCGGCAATTATAAATACAGCAACAACGACAGCAACAACAACAACAACAATAGCAGCAGCAGCAACAAAAGCAGCAACAGCAGCTGAACAAGTTGTTGAGGAGTCATTAAAAGCAGCAGCCGCAGCAGCCGCAGCAGCAGCAACAGCATCAACATTGCCAGCAACAACAACAGCAGCAGCACAGCAACAACAACTGCCAGCAGCAGTTAATACTAAAACGTCGTCATCATCAGCAGCAGCAGCAACAACAACAACAACAACAACAATGCCGCTGTTGCTGTTGACTAAACAGGAAACAGTTGCAGTTGTTGCCGCCAACAACAACAACAATAACAACAACAATAGCAGCAGCAGCAGTAACAACGCCGCAACAAAAATTCAAAAAATTCCACAGGCAGCTGAAGAATTAAAAGCCAAGAAGCCAAAGGCAAAGTGTGAAAAAATGCCAATGAATTTGTTAGCGCTGGAAAGTGTTGACCAGGCCAAAGCCAATTCAGCCGATTCCGATAACGAATCATCGAAGTCTACTTCATCTGGCATCATGGAGCAGGTACCGTTGGTTGCCAGCCGACGCAATTTGGCCAAAATTGTGGCTGCCGATTGTCGTCTACAAATCGATGTGCAGCCAATTGCAAAAGCAGCAGCAACAGTTGCCACAGCAGCAACAGTTGCAGTCGCTGCACCAGCAGCAGCGGCAGCAGCAACAACTAGTTGCTCATCGGCAGCATCAACAACATCATCAGCGTCTTCTTCTTCTTCCTCCACATCCTCAGACTTTACGCACACATCACAAACAACATTACCAAGTACGGATAATCTGTCTGCCACTGCCGCCAACCTGGTCAAAACTTGCATTTTATCCGATGCCAAAAGGTGAGTTTTTTTTTCTTCTTCTGCTTCTTCTGCTTCTTTTTATGTTTTTGTTTTCTTTTCTCTGCTTCGTTTTCGTTTTTTTTCCCCCCCCCCCACTCTTTTTTCGGTTTTGGTTTTTTGACCCAATTTTTGTTGATCTTGCGAGACAGCCAAATATGTAATGAAGCAAGATATCTCATCTTAGAACTAATATTGCAGCTTAAAGTAAGCAACTGTCTTGAAAACAAAACTCCAAAAATTCCCCAAAAAAAAAGAAGAAAAAACCGA